GTCATTCAGTGACGTGTATAGTATGATGAGCCATCTGCAGGACGGTCTCGGTGGTGAGTGGCAAACATGCACACGCAGACGGAAACTCCATCAGCAAGAAGCTGGCCCACCCTCCGCTGACCCGGCTGAGCCAGCGGAGCACATCCAAGAAGCCAGGGCGCCGCCAGATGTCAACCAGCTTCTATGTGGTTGGCTAGCTGCTTCGCGTGCGGAAGAGTCTTGCCGGGTGTTCGACACTGATCGGGCATCTCTCTTGCAATAGTCAGATTTTGCGGCTCCCCGGCTTGTGAAAATGTCAGCCAGACAGGCGAAATTGGCTTCCAACTACTGGTTTTACCGCCGGAACGAGAATGCCTGCTGGCGCTTGGGTTTCCTGCATGCCAAAGCTCATCACACCGGGGCTGGATTCCGCGCCGATGCATCCGCGTTGGGGTCCTTGGGGGCGCGGGCCATGGGGGAGGCCTGGTGCATCAGCTCTTGCTTCCCTGATCCCTGGCAGCCATTGCCAGAGATCGAGCCCGATGGAAGCGATCCTCAAGTTCTGCTGCTTCGAGGGGCTCTAGAACCTCTGGAGCCTTCGCCGCCTGGACTGGGGCCTTGCCTGGAAGACACATCGCTTTGGAGGCACTTGCTAAGAGGGACTCATGGCTTTTCACTCCATGGACCAGAGCCCATCAGTCTGTATCCTGATGCTCCAGAAATTGCAAGAGTCGCGAGAAGACGACAGAGGAATGCGGGCTGGCGTCGCTGGTGGTCTGTCTTTGCCAAAACTCGGCAAACAGAGCAGTTTCCGCCAGGTCTGCCCGCTGCCTGCACGGGCGTATCTTCTTCACATGAACCACATGACATGTCTTTTGTCGACGGCTGGCCTCAGCAGGTCCCAATATGCCCAACAGTTTTCATACCGGTGCCCGTTCACCTGGCGGTAAGAGTGCAGCAGTACGTGGAGAAGCTCCAGCGGGAAGAGCTGGAAAGTTTGACCCCAATGCTGCCAAGATGTACATAGAACCTGGCCTTCTGGTCATTTATTCGTTTTGGCGTGCCCATGCGCTGCTTTCGAAGAAAGACTCCTTGCTTGTAGCCGGCAGCAACCTACAGGCTCAGCCTCGTGCAGGCATGTCGCCCCGCAAAGTCGAGTCAAGGGTGGTTGGACGCTCTGAGCCGGTAGGTGAAGTTTGCTGAGAACTTCTTCTTGTTGCGCGGCAACCATGAATGCGCACCTTGGCACGGACGTTGAACATGTTCGTGTGAAGACTGCCGATGTCCAGACACTTTTCAGGCTTCAATCAATCGTATCTATGGCTTCTACGATGAGTGCAAGCGACGGTACAGTATAAGGCTCGGCGTGGGTCAAAGTTCAGAAGATTCAGAAGTGGAAGTGTGCACTATAGACACCATCAGCTCGTTTATCGCAGTGTCCTTTGCTTTAGCGGAAGGTTGTGGAAGACCTTCACTGACTGCTTCAACTGCCTCCCGGTCAGCGCAGCGCGCTTCCCAGACAGAGAGCGAGGCGAAACAGAGGTCACTGTCGTTCGTTGCTTTGCAGGATGTTGTTTCGAGTTTAGATAGGACAACAGCCCGGTGAAGCGTAGAATGCTCCTCGGCAGATGGTGGCCTAGAAGCATGCCAGTCGAGGTCATAGAGGACAAAATCGTCTGCATGCACGGTGGCCTCTCACCCGAGCTAAATCAGCTGCAGCTGCATTCTCAGTTGTTGGTCCTTCGTGAAGAGGGCGCAACATGAGACATTGGGACACTCAGGCAGATCAACCAGGTGGTCAGGCCGACGGACGTGCCAGACACAGGTCGGAATTAAGCACTTCTCGAGTTCGACGAGGGGTGAGGATCTGGTTTTTGGAGGGGTTCTGTATCCACGGTGCCTCCCTTTCTGTCCGAGCGGAGACGTTAAAGAGACTCTCCTTTGCAGGTTTGCTCTGCGACCTCCTCTGGCCACGGGCTCGGAAGACTGGCGATGGCTTAAATCGCGCTCAGCTCGAAAGACTGACTCACTATGTCCCAGGTCAGATCCAGAGAAAGAGATCAGCGGCTGGGGGGAGAATGACCGTTTGTGAAGCATGCATCTTCTTGCTCTGGGCTCTGGCCGTCTGAGCCCTTACATGGTGTCCGTGGCAGGACCGTGGGGTTTCATTCACATTTGGGCCTGATGTTGCAGTGGGCTGAGCATCCGTGTCCAGGGTTGACTCTCAGTGAGGTGTGTATATGTGTGTAGTAGCCATCGCATGGCCTGCCGCCCCTCCGGCTGAGGTTTCAGGGTTTCTGCGAAAGCATAGCCTGGATCTTGTATGCCGCGCGCACCAGGCCTGAGATTGGCAGATTCCTTTCGAAAGGGGATTCGTGCCGGAGCACAGAACCGTCGCAAAACAACACTAGAAAGGGAAAGCTCCAGCTTGTTAAGAACTGTTGTTCATGGATGTGGTCAGGTTGTTGAAGACGGCTACGAGTTCTTTGCTTCGCGTGCTCTGGTGACACTGTTCAGCGCGCCAAACTACTGCGGCGAGTTTGACAACTCTGTAACGCCCTTATGCACACCTTGCATACTGCCGGCACGCTCCAGCGTGCATGTTCTTTTGACGTAGATTATTGTGAGGCGCTCGCTGTGATGTGCGGCTGTGTTAGGGCATCATGGCTTGCCTGTCCGAGGCAGCCATCATGACCGTGGACGAGAGGCTGTGCTGCGCATTCCAGATTCTGCGGCCCATGCGGCTCTAGCAGGCGAAGAGCGTAATAATGGGATTTACCTCTTCCTTTAGATGGGTGGGATGGAGTCCGCAAACACAGGTCATGGAGAGCTGCCGGCACCTGAGGTTAGCCCAAAGCAGTCCGCAAGGCCTTGAGCCAGTTGTGAGATCCTTCGAATTGTACATTGCACCTTTCGGACTGCTCGCCTTTTGATGTCTCAAGAGGCTCTGAGATAATGGAATGCCTCAAAAGGCTCTTTGCTCGATTTCACCTGCCTGATGCAACAGTCGGCAAGTTAGATACGAAGTATATCCCAGACTTTGAAACGGATGTTCACTTGAAGATGTTAACTCGCTTCACGTCACTTCACCCAGAGCTGCTGCCGGGGAAGAGCACGGATGCTGGAACTTATGTGACAGGCCATCAATCGGCATGTTGGTATCTAGCACAGACCAGCCTAACGGCATCCGTGCCTGTGGTTCCCGCCTATCGGCACAGTAAGATGCCCCAGCCATGCATGTTCAATGCATGGGTGCATTTATCATTAGTCGCGTGGCAGGTCAACTGCCCATGCGATCCATTGTGCCTCTCCTCTGGTCAAGTCACAGTATTCCAGAAAGGATCCCTTTCAACGTTCATGGTTTGTAGATGGGAAGCCGAGCAATTCAGCATGCCGCCCCCTAATTTGCGGCCGCAGCGATGCAACAGCTTTGGAGCCATGGCATCAGCCATCAGCAGGTGACCGCAAGTCCTGTGACGTCAGCTTCTAGATACCCAAGCCGCCACGACAAAGATCAACCTCTGCAAGAACTCTTGCGGTCTTCATTTTCTGGCAAAACTTGCCAGATGATGCAAGGCGAAAGGTACAAGAAGTGACCCAGTCAGCTGCATTACCTGGGCAGATCCCCGAGATCCTACAGACTCAAGTCCTCGCTGTGGTAGGTGGAAGGGATCATGCCGGGCCTCCTAACTTTCGAGTGCAAGTGTCTAGGGTCGGCAGCACCGTTCCAGTCCCAAGCCGAGTTCCCGGCTTCAACACACACACTGTATTCCCGTGTGTGTTTCGCTCCAGTCACGCGCTGCTGAATCCTAGCTTCGGTCCGCAGAAGTTGTGCCGCAATCACAAGCAGAAAAGCCTACTGTATGTGTTTGCTACAGGCTGAGGCGGGTGAGGCCTTGCAGCTCCGCAATTTGAGGAGCATCTTGACCGGCTGCCTCTTCTTTCCCTCCTGCTACTTGTGACGATCCAACTGCAGCATGTCAGCCAAGACGCCCGTCAAGCACACTGCAAGTAGCCGGATTGTGGCAGCAGCAAATGTACACTGTACACAAATCATCACGCACCGCAATTCCCGGGACGAGAGCACTGGCAGCCCTCGGCCATGCTGAGTCCACTGAGCCTTCTCGTCGCAGGACCCCCGAAACCACCAGGGAGGGTCGATGCAAGATGATGGAAGATGTTCGAAGCATGAAGACAAGCTAGCTCGACTGCTGGAAGTGATTGGAATGTCTGTGTGTGTGTGTGTGTCCTGAAGGTGCGCTGCTTGGAGGCACTTGCGTGAGCAGATGCATTCGATGAGCAGCAGATTCCTTCCCTGCTTGGCTCATTCGCTGGACAGAATGCAGCCCCGAAGATTGGCTCGAGAAACAGGCCGTAGATGGGGCTGGTAACTTTGGAGCGGCTAGGACGAGGTTCCCCCCACCACATCGGCGCATCGAACTGCGGTCAATGCGGTCAATTCCAAGGGTTGCAAATAGGAGCAGGACCGAGTGTTATGCTTAACCTTCACTGCGACTGGCCGGCCTGACGCAGCTGAAAGCCCATGGCACAGAATGTGACGTCCTTGCTCCTCAAACTTCTGGACAAGTCATATTCATAGCACTGAAACTGCATCCTGCGAGCGGGAGAGTGGACTACAAAGGTGGGGACGCGCCGCATCTTTCGGTCCTCAACGCTCCAGGCCCGGGTTTGGAGCTGTCACTTCCTCTCTGATCTTTCGTGAGTTTGTACTATGTTGTAGGTGCAGCATGCTGATAATGCACAATGCTGCATGGGAATGTTTTCCTCTGATCTGCGAGTACCCCTGAGAGGCAACATAACTCCTGTTCCGCGAAGTATCCTCCCAAAGTGTGCGGTGCCCAGGAACCAGTGTACTGTACGCAGACAATTGGCATGTCACACTGCTTTCACAGCTTCGCAGTCAGCTTCCGAGGTCCAAAGAACCTCAAGTTGAGGAGACAAGATTCACATGGTCTTTCACTGTCTAACCCCCTCGATCCTGCATCCAGGATGGCGGAGGAATGCGTGTTCGATTCGGAGGGCAGCCCTCTTTTGCCAGGGTTTCAGTCAAGCATGAGTCTGAATGAATGCCAGTCTCGTTAGCTGCATGTTGAAGCTTGAGGTCTTCCAGCCGTCAGATTGGCGACAAAAGAAGGATGCTGCAACGCAAGTCCCCCGGTCCCTTCTTTCTTGAGCATGTTGAAAGTTGTAGCGATGCCACCTCTTGGACCTATTGAAGAGGGGTGCATATGGGAATCATGATCGGTAGTTTGGTTCTTCGATATTGTTCTGTTCGTTCACCTGCTGTTGGCCAAGGGAACCAGCGTGGTCTCTAAATCGAGACTATGCGAGATGCCGAGCCGAGTGAGTCATCTCGTGACAGGAGGGGCAGTGCTGCGCACAGGATCGCCCCTTTGTTGTTTTAAGGTCTATGGGTACAACGGAAGTTGCCAGGGCCGAAGCTCCCCTGACCTCGCAATGCTTCTTTTGCGGGCGCCCTCTTGCCACTGCTTAGGTCGAAGCTCGCTGCACTTCATCTCAGAGACAGAGATTGACCGGACCTCACTCGTCCAAGTGCCACCATGCGCGATAGTGTGGCTTGGCACATGAGGCTTACCCGCTCGCGAACCTTGCTGGAAGCTTAGAACTGCCAACGTCGGTACATCCCGAGAGTAGCTTCAAAGATGTGACTTCGCTGAAGGTTCTAGTAAAGGAGGTAAATATATCGTTTCGACATATGCAGCAGCAGGAGTTGCAGCGGATGGCAGCACTACGCACCTGCCCTGCCGAAGCTCTGGCAACGCAGCCCACGAACGCACGTCCTCTTTAATGTTGTGTGTTGTTTGTGGGGGGAGACGACAGCCAACATCAAAATGATTTCTCGTAGAGGGGCAAGAACAGCCTGACCAAACAGCTATGTCGTGCCTTCAGTCATTCTCGGGGTTCAAGGAGCTGAACACGATGGTGTGCACAGATGCCGGGCCAACGAAAGCAGTTCAGCGAGCGGAGGGTCCGTTTCAAAGCTGACGACCCCCATTGCAATGATATCACTTGCACTTGTGCAGTCTGTGCTCTTGGTGCCTGAGAGTGGTCGGGCTGCAGAGCCTTCTGCTTTTGCTTCTCTTGCAAAAGGAACCTTCCAGGGCTGGGCAGAAGGATAAAACAGGAAATGTGTGCTTAGTGCGCCAGCTCCTGCTGAGGTCATACTACTCGACGTCAAGTCAAACGAGCAGCGCTTCTTTGATGGTCATACGAATGACGTGCTGTGTCTGGTGCCGTCGCCGGATTACAGCGATGTATGCCGAGCATGCTGCTTGTCCATCCAGTGTCCCACGAACAGCCTTCTGTCGGCAGTAATCCGAAGGCCTGGAACGAGAACCAGCGTCTATGCATCTCGGGGCAGATGGATGTCAAGGCAGGAAGCTGCCAGAAGCATGATGCAAGCATTGCTCTTCAATGCTGTTTCCTATTGCAAGCTGATTTCATTGTAGGGTGCCGATGGCCCGAAAGCTTGCATCTGGAGCCCAGACGATGTCTCAAGCTTCTGCAATCTGCTTGACCCCCAGTTCAAGTCACCATGTGAAAGTCTTGCATTTGGGCGGTGGTGCTTTCACGAGGTTGCATCCGGGACACTCGCGATCTGTAAGCGCTGTTGCTCTTAGCCAGGAGCTTTCAGATTCATTGCATCCAGAGCGCTTCAGCTGATAGTGTGAATCAGTGAAGGGGTTGCCCGGATCAGCTCAAGGCTCCGATGGTCAGACGGCGGTGACGTTCACGACAGATGAGGCCACGTGGCAACTGTCAAAATGCAGAACGAAGTCAGTAATGTGTGTTGTCTCGCATTGGGAAAAGCTGGGAGTCATCGATATGAGGCCAGCAGCTACTACATTTGGCGACTTGACTTTTCTCGTGCAGCGGCCTGGCTGCGATGTAACATCCTTAATCGAGCAACTGCAAGTGGGGCAAGTTTGGAGTTTCGATCGGTTCTGCGATAGGAGCACTGCTGAAGTTCATTGAAGTGGAGCGATGAGACAGGGCTCGACTTCAGCTTCCATTTCGCGTGCCCACGATTTCCGCTCACCGAGGTTAAGAACGGCACTTCCAATGTTGGGACTTGGCTATCTTCCGGCTCCTCCGGCCGGCAGCCGGATTCCAAGCACATATACGTCATAAAAAAAAAATATATATATATATATATATATATATATATATATATCCCGTGCGCAGTGTCAAAGAGGCCAGTCTACGCGGCATACCTCCTTGAGCCGGATCCAGCTCCCGGGAAGATGGCATTTAGCACGGTGCGGATCCCAGAGACTCTCGTGCACTTTCTCGCATCGGGCTGGGCACCCGAGGGAGAGATGCAGCGCTCTGAACCCTTGTTCATTGTGAGGTTGGCCAAAACCACTTCAGGAGCTGGACTATAGAATTTCCAAAGAAGACCGGCGCTTCCCCAGTCGCGCTTTCCTCAGCAATCTGCTTATTCAAGAGACATGCGGGCATTTAACCTTGGAGTCGTCTGCTTTTTTGGTTGCTTCCCGGACACAGTCGGAATGCCGCGCGTCGGGATGGGGCTCGGTCCATGACGCAAACAGGAGGGCGATGTCGTGGCGAAAGCTTTATTGTGGACCTGGGGGCCACTGAGCTCTCCACCCCGAGCATGTCACGAGTTCGAACGCGAAGGCAGCATCAGCAGCATTCGGCCAAGATCGGCCAAGACCTCATTCAGTGGCCTGTCGCGCAGACTGTGCCGGCAGACGGCCAAACACAGAGGCGCCGGCCGACACAATCCTTGTCTCGTGACCACTGGCCCTCTGGCCTCTTAACATCCCTTGGCTTGGTGTTTGTTGGATTGCCATTTCTGGACTGATCATCGCTGTCTCATGCGCTGCTCGACTTAGTCCGTGTTGGAATCATGCCATGTCACTGTTCGGTGTGTCTTCACGGGCTGCAGTGGTCATTCCGCGCTGTTTTGCAGATTTGAGGTTTCATCAACAATCTTCGCACTTTATGGCGTATGCAAAGAGTTGGAAATTCCGTAGCCTAGGTCAAGAAGAACAGGGGTACCTATGGCAAGATCGTGGCAGCCAGGACGAAGAACTGGCAGGTATGCTTATGTCTAGTTGCGTCTGGCAACGAGTTGTAACTGGGAGGAATCCTGTTGACTGGGCATGGCGAGCGGATGGTGCGGCATGGATGGTCGGGCTCCACGACAGGGTTCCGTTGCTTGGTCACAAGATCCGCGACAAGGTTGGAGACAACGGGCACATCTACTCAGTCCTCGGACAAAGTGTCACCGATTCAAAGCTAATTGCCCGTGACCCAGACGCAGACTGCAGAACTCGGGCTCAGAAGGGATCTGCGAAGATGCCGAGGCATCGCAACATAGCGGGGCAACTCTCGGCTGTGCCCTGCACCCGGGCCGGGGCATGAAGGGATGCGATCACCAGCAGTTTGTTCAAGGGATGCGGTCACCAGGAGTTTGTTCAAGTGTCTGTACGAACTCTGTACAGATAAGGTGGCCAAACTTCCAGATGGGCGATGGATTGCTGGAGCTCTTGATGGAACCATCTTCATAGGCGACGGCATTAGATTCTTAGGTTGCTCGGACGAACATCAGGAAACGTGTTTCTACCAGGGCGTCTTGTTCCTCGGTTGTTTCATCGACTGCTGGAACATAGATTTATACCAGCCCTGGTCCACTGAATCTTCGAAGAGGGCACTCCCAGGATTTGGAGATGGTCTGCCAAAATCGTCTGCATTATCATTTTGAGCTGTCTGTAAGCTGATCAATGGCGCGCCAAGGCGTGTACGATTTACATCGATGCATTTAGAAGGTGTGGAAGGTATCGATGTTTTTTGGACTTGTATGTATACACACACACACATGTACGTGCCTGTATGCATATACGGGTCAATGTATGCCTAGTACATGCACATATGCTGACATACATACTTACAGACAGACAGACAGACAGACAAATGCATACAGTTGTATCCATTTGCATGCATGCATGCATGCATGCATGCATGCATACAACATGCACCCCCCCACCTGCCTGCCTGCCTTATCGCATGCCTGCATGCAAGTTGGCAGATAAGTTATCTATCAGGGAGCCAAGGACGGAGGGAGGGAAGGAACCAAGGCAGACAGTCAGTACTGTACGCTGTATGCACATATGCCCGTGTGCATGCATGCATATTATGGGCAAGGAGGTATCTGCTGGTTAGCGACCCATCCAGTAGCCGGTCCTGCATCCTTAGATTCGGTTTTGGCAGGCTCTCCAAGACTGGCTGTGCAGGAGCTTTCTGCTGGCTGAGTCTCGTCGTTTCATGTCGTTTTTAGTTTAGGTCCTCTGCGATCTGCAGGAGGAGCTTCGCTTCCCACAGTTGAGAGGACGCGAAGTCAAGGCGGAAAGCAGAGCAGTGTTCACAGAAGCGCACGGGCCCGATGTCACCCCTGTACGATTCACATGCCATGCCGGTAGGCCTTCTGCAGCACGTCTTCGGCTCGGCTGAATTCCGTCTCTGTGCCTTGGGCTTGGCATGTGCAGGCGTTCACATGTTGAGGGCAGTTCGTTGCTGGGCAGGAGAGGGAGTTTGGCCGTGTTCGGAACCGCCAATCATGCACAGAGCTTGGCAATTACTGCTGAACTTGGCAGCCGGAGCTATGGCTGCCAGCCCTGGCCCATGTTCGAAGGGTTTTTCCAGGCTTGACTGCTTTCAGCAAGGCTCTTGTGCTTGTGGACTACACACGACGAGAGCCGGGATGTCAGCTGTTTGTGCCTGTATTTTTCGACCCATAGGCAACCATGACGCCGTGCTGGCGAGGTTGGTGCGAGTGCTGCAGGTATCCCATGCCACGGAGGCCTGCATGTTAGTGAAGGGTGTGATGCAATGAGATGTTTGTGTTTTGTGGCAGTTGGGGCTTACTTACACTAACTGAGCCACGACGCAGCAGCAATGATGCTTCAGCCTTGGCTTGAGGCCTGGGCGATGGACTTCCACCCCGAACTAGCAATCCTGGCAGGGTGCCCATCGTCTGCAGAGAAGACTCAGAATGACTCACTTGTCACCTGTCCGAAACATGCGAAAACCCTGAGGCAACAGGCGACACCCAAGGGCATGTCCGCTTCTGGAATGTGGCCGAACGGAAGCCTGCAGTTGGCAAGGTCAGGCAAGTGCTGCAGAACGAAACAGGGATGCGCGAGAGACAAAGATCGAGGTACTGAAGATGGAGTGGTCTGTTTGGTCCTTGGCGTTCCTGCCTACCGCCCGAGCCCTATACCGTATACCCGATAACGGCCGTGCCTCATTCTGCCGCCGTCGCAAGCTCACCCGCCAGAGCTTGCAGGATGGATCGCTCATGGCCCTTGGGCATGACAAAGGCATGGTCGAGGCTTCGCGCTTTGCCGTTTGACAGCTGGTTATCGTGTATCCTGTCGTGCCAGGTGCTGCGATTTCCATCTTTGCAGCCTGCTTTCCGGGAGAGGCAGCGGTTTTGTGGTGTGCCTGGCCACTGGGAGCGCCACGGATCTGGCTGAGAGGCTATCAGAACCAGCAGAGTCGGCGCCCCAGAACCAAGCACCCGGCATCACACCACTCTGTCGGCCCTCGAACTTGGAAAGGCGGATCAGTGCCCTGCGCTTCAGCGATTGCGGGATCTGGCTCGCCGCAGGATGTTGTGATGAGAAGGCCATGTCGAGTGTCTTCAGGCCGTCGGACGTTGCGGTGGCTCCATTATGCAGGTCTACCTGCTGAAGCTGGTCACTTCCGGGGATGGCCATGTAGAGGCGAGCATGTGGCAGTGTGTCACCATGCATTACAGCACTATTTGCCGGTTCCTGTAGCCAGATCCTCTTGCACCGTGTCCTTTCCGGCAACAGCTCAAACATTACCGCGGTCATGTTCTCTGCCGATTCGTCAGACGGCTCAGCATCGGAGCAGATTAAGTGACCTCGCGTTGCAGCCTTGCAGCTCCTGACTTGTCCTCTAAGGCAACATGTCATGTCCAACTCAAAGGATGCCCAGATCCTGTATTGGAACACAAAGGACACGAACGCTGAATGCCTTTTGTGCCGTGTTATGCCGTGTTCGAAGAGCGCCGCCTTGAGGACGGAGCGCCACAGCGGCACACGTCCATGTTCCGCGACACAAGGCGGAGGGATGGAAGTTGCAGCCTATCGGAACTGACTCCCACTAGTACTTGCAGGTTGACCTGTAACTAGAGCTCTGGAGCTCTCATTGCTTGCGGACTGGACTGTGTCGCGCGGCAGGTGGCAGAAGCCGTGGACGGCGGCCCGCGTCCAAGTGGTGACTGGCACTCTATTCCTTCTGGCAGAGCAAAAGATAATTTCACTTGGAAGTCTCTTGTTGCTAATGTCTTGCTCATGGAACCCGCAATTCGATGACTGGTGCTTGAAATGGTAGCTTGGCAGAGGTCCTTGGCTGGCCCGTCATCGGCCTATGGGGCGATCCAAGCTGCGACGGGTGGGCGGCCTGCTCTTTCGGTATGGTCTGCAACGCAACCAAGCAAGTTTCTCTGGATGTAGGAGTGACATTAACTCGGCCTGCCAATCGAACGATCTGGGCTGAGACTGCCGACAGCCACCAGTCAATCATGAAACTCGCTTGGGCACTCTCTTGAGCTCTAAGGAGCCCCTGGATGAGTTGCTTGCCTTTGGCAGTGACCTCATGCGGATCACGCCAATTTTCGGAGCATCTTTCCAGAAGTGGAGCCGGCATGCAGTTGCTGGAGGGCTTTCCTGGAATCAGTACGACCGCTCTGAGGTGATGACTTCGGCTGCGTGAAGCTGATCCGCTTCCCGAGTCCCTTCGCGAATCCTGGGGTGAAGGCAGGCTGCGCGCAAACAACAGTGGCCGTGTGTGTTCATCTCTTCTCCTTTAGAGGGTAATCGAAATACCGGAAGAAGATCTGATTCACCAGGGGCTTTCCACTTCCGAATTCGAGGGGATGCCTGCACCCCTGTCATATCTGATCACGCGGCTAAGATGCAATACCATAATCAAAGTGACATGAATGAATGACAACGAATGATTGACAATGCATGAACGTCGGCATGAATGGATGAATGAAGGGATGGATGGAGGGATGGATGGATGGACGGATGGATGGATGGATGGATGGATGGACAAATGGATGAATGAACCAAAGAGTGAATAAATAGGTGGACAATCGGCTGGCTCTACTGTAACTTGTATCACTGTATTAGCGTCACTGCATGACATGTGATGTGTACCGTGTCTGACATACCCTCAACTAAAGCTTAATCTCAGGGCTTATCTCGTTTTGCAAGACATGATGCCGCAGACTATACGGTAGTAAGTTTAAAGGTACGTATGGAATGCTACGTTTTCAATGCTGTGCAGCAGCACTCAACAACATGACGCAGTATTTACAAGCACTTCAGCACGTAGACGGTAAACTTAGCATCAATGTATGTATGCAGCATGCATGTATTCAAGCATGTGTGCATGCTTGCACTCAGGCTGTGTACTGTTCCCAAGTAAAAATGTTCCCAAGTAAAATGAGCGCTGGATTGCGAGGTTTACACCGGTCACGCAAGCCATGTCTCGGCAGTGAAGTTCTCACGGTCAAACGTGCTGCCCTTAGACTGGCAGACTCCGAGGTGTACAAGTTGGGGTATTGCCAACCTTGGGCAGCTACACCACACTTCACGGTAATTGTGCGATGCAAATCCCATGATCATAGACTCGCGAACATGAAATTGCTGAATGTCTTCCTCTTGAAAAGAGACCGTTGAACATGTTCTGGTATCACACAAAATCCGGATCTCCCACATCGCCGACAACTTCCATTTGTTGTATTGTGTAGATCATTCTGCTTATCCTACTGCTGTTAATAACTTCTTAATGCAACTCGTCCGCATTCCTCGCACGCTTTATGTCCCAGTGTCTACGAGCAGCACATATTTTGGCTTTCTTGACTAGCTCCCATGTGTCATGGACGTGCGCACCAGAGCTCAACAAGCAACTATACATGTGTCTCTACATATTTACACCATGTCACCATGTACGTCATTATATCCCTTTGAACTTATAGTCGCTTGTGCTTCAGTTTGCTAGAGATGATGAGTGTGGTCATACTATGTTCTCAGTTTACCCGTATAGCAAAGCCAAAGTTGAGCAGGATGCTTTCGGACCCATGCAATGATCATGTTATTACGTGTTCAGCAAATCGTTCGAGACGTTCTGTGCTTAGGCTCACTCTCGAAGCAGGGTGCTATATCAACGAAGAGTTACCAGTCGATGACCCAACCAAACAGGCAGCTTTGTGAGTATCACTCAAAGTCATTGGCAGGTTACCTATGACAGCCTGTCAGGATACGTACTTGTAGTAGCCTCCGAGGGCAGGGTCCATCTGAGTTTCAAATTGAAACTTACAGAGTTCAGGGATAGAGAAACGATTTAAGGGCGCGAGAAGCTTGCTGAGATGTTAATGCCGGTATTCTCAGTGTCCAGACACCCAAACCCGTATCCTAGACCCTATAAAGGTTGCGGACCTTCTTCTGTCCATTTGGGTTTAGCAATCTTGGGTTGAATCTTGCGGCAGATCTCATGGATCGTCCTGGAATCCCAGAAATGGATTGGTGGTGGGAGTGTCTGCGAAATTCATCTGGCCTGAGGAGGGGAGGGGGGGCATGTTCTCCAACCCTACATCAGCAAGGTAGCACCAGGCTGGAACGTGAAGATCTGTTCAATGTTGTCTGTGGTTTGCGATACAATGTATCACATGTATCGGATACATGTCTTGTTCGCGATTCCAAAGCCGCTTGGCTTCTTTTGCGATCGTGAGCTTTCAACTGCACCTTAGCAGCAGACCGCAGAAGCAGCAGACCGCGGGCGAGCAATGCTACATGACCTCAAGCTCAGCTTTTGTTGAAATGATTGCTGGTGTTGTTGCAAACGCCATGTAGTAGATCATGTCGCCGGCTCCATGGCCCTCACACCAAGATGAGTGCAGCACCCTCAAGTGAGTTGAGTCTAGCTTTGACCGCTGTTCATGCGACTTGAGCATGCGTCGGCGTCGGCCGCAGCAAGCACTCAATTGGTCAGGCGCCCCGACGGAGGAGCTTGCGCCCCTTGTCTTTGACGTCGCTGACAGTGATGCGCAAGTACATCCGTTTTCCTTGTGAAGTGTGCCCTCGGCCAGCCAAACTCAGGCAACACGCTGGAGGAAGTGGAGGATGGCAAGAGAAAAAACATGAGGAGATCGTTCCAGGCTTGGCATTTTGCCCTTGAAAGAGAGTTCTTTGCACGGCCCTGTCCAAGAGGCGCGGGTCCAGAGGCTTCTCGCAGTGCGGTGGTTTACTGAGCGGCCGGGTATCAAAACATCCCAGCTGTCCAGGCCAGCTGCTTCGGTTTGTAAGTTGGTGTGCGCAGTCTCTGTCGGTCTGTCTGTCTCTGCATGTGTGTGCGTGCGTGCGGCTGTGATTGTGTGGCTGTGGGTGCACACATACATACATAACACAGGTAACCCGTCTGATACTCACCGATGCCAAAACCTTGGGAGTGTTTCAACGTGTTGCAGTGCATGTCTGTATCCATGTTGCGCAAATGTAAATTGTAAGACTGCGAGTTTGTGGTCGCAGAGTTCGCTGAACATGCTGACATAGGAGTGTATTTTCCTCCTACCTACCTATCTATCTACTTACCTACCTAATTACGTAAGTACATATATACGCACACATGGATGAACGGAAATCTGCACGCACGCGCGGAACCATTTTGCTCTCATTTAAACCCGTAGTGGTGGTAGTAGTGGTAGTGGTAGTAGTAGTCGTAGTGGTGGTGTTAGGGGCAGGGGTAGGGGTCGGGGCCGGGCAGGGGTACGTGTATGCGTAGGGGCAGCTGCAGTAGTCGTCGTCTTCGCGGTGGTGGTGGTATTCGATGGCATGGTTCTGTCGTAGTCGTAGTCGTCGTTGTGGTAGTAACTGGCAGTAGTAGTGGTCGACCCCTACTACGACGACGACTACTACGACGACTACTAGTACAACAACAACAACAACTACTACTACTACTACTACTACTACTACTACTACGACTACTACTGCTGCTACACTACGACGACTACTACTACGACTGTGTCTACCATGCCGACGACGACTACTCCTACGACTGCCCGTGCAGTGTCATCATGTCAATGCCGTACGGAGCTTCCATGCCTGGACTTGCTGGCATGCCTGCACAGGAAGAGCTACTGCCCAACTGCCAGGCCGTGCCAAGAAGAGGAGGCAAGTGCCTCCTTTGAGATTTAGGGCCAAGACGATTTCTGGAAGGCAGAGATTGTTTGCTCTTCCATCGCCAGGCTGTCTTGGGGGGTGTGCTCACCAGCCCATATCTCATGCAGAAGACAACTGAGTTGTTCCTTGGTGATAAATACGTGCAGCCAGCAACTGTGTGTGGACGTGGGTTCGAGGGAGACAGTGCCACACTGGTAGAGCTCAATGCAAGCGGTCCAAATGCCATTGCGAGAGTCAGTCTAGGATATTGGCAAATCTCGAGTGTTTTCAAGCGCTCTCGGCATTCCATTTCCAGGGTAGCATGTTGTTTCTGGTGATGCGCTCTCTTTCTGATATCACACCTTGAGAAACAAAACAGCTGATCCATCGGTGTGAACAGCGTTACCCGGCACTTGGCCTTCTGGTGTTGTTGTAAAGTCGTCAACGTCGCTACTGTATCGGGTATATCATGGCTTTTCGGCACTTATCCGCTGCAGGGGTGCAGCGGACGCTCCAGGTGGCTAGCCCTGTAAGTTGCATTCTCTTTTGCATATGGCTAATTCATCGGTAATTGTAGCTTCTGCGTGTGTCTCCATTCCTGCTTTGTTGCGGAGACTGTGCCGTGTTGTGCTTATTGCCGATACCTCCTTTGACGCGCAGGCTTTCGAGGACAGCGGGGGGAGGGGGGGTGTTGGGCTGGTGAGCGAGAAGGGGTGGCTTGTTGCTTGTTAATGCGGCGAAATCACGAAGTCGCGAATCAATATCTTTGTCATTGTTTTCCAAAGCTGCCGCTCCAGCAGCACAAACCAAACATTACAATGTCTCCAAACGGTGCGATTGTTGCAACACTCGTGCAATATACCTCTGTATCTGTGCATACGAATACTACGCGCGCGCAGCAAGGCTCGAGGCTCCACCACACGGAATTCGGAAAACAGCAAGAGCATGGATAGTTAGCAAACATGATAGTTCCACAGCAGTGTACCTTGAAGAAACTTTCTGTGGATCTTGAATAAAGATGCGTGCATCGGTTTATCTTGCCACGTGGTCGCTGTGATGCTCCTCTGGCTGATATAACAAAAGATGCTGTCCGAGAAGGAGAATTTCGACAGAGGTTTCAGTGTTGCAAGGATGGTTTGTGGAAAACCAAGGACGGAACTTGTCGTGATTTGCTGACATCTGCGGGCCTTTTGCGACCGGTGGATGTGTTTTGTCGTTGGAGTGAAGTTAAGCTTCTGTGCTTCGTTCGCCTTCTTTTTCTGCTGATGATCTGCGGAAAACTACAGAATTGACTGCCATGTCTCATCTTCTGGAACTTCCGGAACACTGTCCACCCAAATTCCAACCAAATCCATGGAACCTTTCGAATGTGACCACAAGGAGGAGCGACAACAGTGCAAGCATGCACAAACAAGTAGCTCATACCCATTTCCAGAAGTATGCCAAAACGGTGCGCAAGAAAAGCTGGAGTTTTCCGAGCGCAGAAGGCCAAACAGGATTGTCGACAGCGCCGTTTGCATCCAGGTTGCAGCACTTCCAGCATGAGCTGACGGGCATGCACGGTTTTTTCGACGAGCTTGGTGACTTCGCGGCACTGCAGTCACTTGCAGTTGATTCGAGCAGCCTTGGCTGTTGCACCTCTTCACCTTGAGAAGGGTGCCAACTGTGCTCAGGTGTCATGCCGACAAAGGTCTCCGAAAGCCGTTTCGGGGGCGAGGTGGAGTGGAAACCCAAGCTTCTCGGGCTGCGGCCTTTTCGAGGGTTTTACTCTGCCGGCCAATGAGGATTTCGAGTTCACTTGCCGAGGCCTATGTCGGCCCAGCGCAAGAAGGACATCGTCATGAGACTAGCCGTTAAGGCTGCCTGACCGGTTCCATGTGAAGTGTGAAGAACAGCAGACATACACTCTGAAACACGACGCGAAGGCTATTCACCAATCCAAATGGACAGCCCTGCGAATTTGCTGGTCGCGCTACATACAAAAGCAGGACGGTCTGCAACATAATTTCGTGCATGTGATTGGCATGCAATGCGTTTTGGGAGACCTGCAGGACAAAGAGCTCAAATGGCTTCGACAAAGCTACGACGAGTGACTGGTCAAATACTGTGGTTTCAGCTTGTTCGTTTGATCTGACCATGTGCCGTCGTGGGCACTTGCCTTGCACTTGTGAGCATACAAGAAGAGTGTTGTGTCACGTAGTTGACTCGCTTTGGCATTCAGATCTTACCGGGCAGCTTGTTCGCAACAACATGTTGACCAAGGCTTCAGCAGCAGTTTCTCACCGTTCGCCAGGCCTACAAGTAGATGCAAGTGAAGATCACGACGAGTTCATTGCATACCTGGTCAGGACTATTTGCAAGAACTCTCCATGCTGCGAGACCAAACTCGCGTGCGCCTGGCCCCTATCTGACAGACCGATGTCAGGTTCCAGCAGGCTGATGCAAACCGTGCGCCAGACCACGGACACATTGATCTGGTTGCTTCTAAAGCGGTGAATCGGTAGTGAGACGGCCTTGATCTTTCCTATTTCTAAGCAAAGATGCTGCTAAGGTGGAGACATGGACACCTCCGATTGGCAAATCCAAGGACGTGGGTCTGATGCACAGACCTCAGTCCTGGTCGAAAGTCTTGGATAGGCACGCGCCATGTGCGCTTTCAGGTCGTATATTTCTTTGATCCGGCCAAAGCTCTGACTCCACGAGAAACGGAGTTTATGCTGATGGCGGTGAAAGAGAAGTTGACGATGATTCTCGAAAGCAACCCGCGAGTTGCGGGGTGCATCGATCTGGGGCAGTTCGAGAAGCTCAAGGAGCTCAGAGAGAGCCAGGAGGTCCAGAACATGAGGCAAGGGGCGGGATTCCACCGTCTTTGCCTCTTTAAACTCGGGACCCGAAACCCAAACTCACCCCCAAAACTCCACGAGGCAAGTCCTCGTGCGCAAGGGCCACGAAGTGAACGAGCTGCGCCAGACGGTGGCTCAGCTCCAGGAGGAGCTCGGTTCACTGCAGCCATTCCGGATGCGGGGAGACAGACAACAATGAAGTGAATATCAAAAGCTAAGGACTGCGAAGCATAATTAGCCACAGATTGCCATGACTACGCCTCAGGTTTACGTATCCATGGCTATCAGTGTTGCCGCAGCACGTGACTTTGAGCTTTTGTAGGCAAGTTTCGTTACTTCTATCCAGACAGCCCTTCAAGTCCATTAACCAGCCTTCTTCCTCGTTCAGCCGTTCGGCATGAGTTGTGCTCAACCTGTTCTGAGTCACGAGTCCGCAGAGTTCTAGATCATCAGGCTAGCAACCTGCCGCAGCAAGCCAGGGGGGATATGGGGGGATGGGTTGTCGCACTGTTTCTACTGGTAGGTGTTATCGCAACGGCTGACAAGGGAGGTGGTGGGACTTGCTGACTGGTAGGGCTGTCGCGAGGAGTTACTGGCTGTGCCCAAGACGGCGTCGACGCCTGCAGCACACGTACATGTGATGGCGGACCTGGAGGAGAAGGCGCTCAGATGATCTGCGATGCTTGAACCGAGACCTACTCGTCAAAGCTTCACAAAAGTCACTTTGCTAGGAAAATTTGTGCATAAGGAAGATGCTCCGACATTTTATCTACATGGCCTTACAGTTGTACCACGGTTTTTGTGTGTTTAATCTGGTACGACAGCAGGTGGCGGATTTGCGGAGCAGCGCCCAGCAGCTGAAACAGGAGATGCGACTGGAAGCCAAGGATCGGGCCAGGCTCAGAACACTGCGAAAAGGCTAGTCCAGGTTGGGCTACAGTAGGCTGGGCTTAGTCTCAGTCTATGGGAAGGCTGCTACGGGGCTGTTACCGTACTCGTACTGCCTCGGCTTGGCCTCAGGAGCGACGACTGGCAGAAGGCCTTTTGGAGGCGGCACGCTTGGAGTGTCCTGGCAAGCAGTGAAGTTCATGACTCTCAGCATTTTTCAACCGCTGAAGCTCGGCCACTTCCCTGAGGTGCTCCGAGCTGCAGGCAGCCGTGGAGCAAATGGAGGCCGATCAGTCCTCGCTTCAGCCCCTCAGACTCAAAGTCGACTCTGCAGTCGGGGGCGCTAGACTCTAGACCCTCGCTCCTGCCATCTGCTAGTGAGCTTTTCCGGTGCGCACATATTTGCGACCAGTTCGAATACGGTTACACCAGCTTACGCAACTGCCGAGAAACTGCTGTAAGGCTTTGCAGGATGGTGGAGATTCGGTCATTTTGCGCATGGATTGAGATTCCAACTCCCATTTAACAGACAGGATGTCATCGTTAGCTTTGCCGAAAACATACTGCTGCGTGAGCGTACCGGATTAGGGGCATGGGCATAACAGTGCGAGTGACGAAGTGCTGCTTGTATTCTCAGGGATGGGGACTTCTCACAGGTTTGAGTGTTTGTCAGTCTTCCTGAAACGGACTGCAAGCTGAGGTCCGCCCTGAGTCACTCGACTGCAATAGAAGGCAGTGGACCTAATGACGTAGCAGGATTCTGCCGACTCAACTACAGTCACATGTTCATCCATGGCTGGCTGTCAGTTTTGCTTTGCTAAATACAGGGACACGATTCTGGCTTGACAGTGCTTGCAGCTGCGTGCAGTCTATGCTTTGGCCATGTAGTGTCATGGACGGATGACAGTGATGGTGACGGTGGTGATGATGGTGATGATGATGATGATCATCATCTCTCTCGCTCTGTTTCTTGCATCGCAAATGTCCGAGGGTGTGCTGGCGTAGCCAGTTGGTGGCATCTAAGCCGGCTATCTGTGACAGCTTCGGCGAGGTGATGGCTCTGTCATCACCACAGGTGATGATGATGATGGTGATGATGATAATCATCATCATGGTGACGGCGATGGTAAAGATGATGATAGTGATGATGTGGAAGATGATGAGAATGGTAATGATAGCGACCGTGCTAATGAGAATGGTACTGTTGTGCCGGTGTGAATGACACCATCAGGTACGTCGAAGCGAGATCTCGAGGAGGCTGAAGAGCACGTCCAGCAGCTGCTGGGGAAGGAGCGCGATCTGCAGGCCGGGAGATGGGAGAAGCTGACAGGATTTCCATAGGCGCAGTGTAATGTAATGTCCAAAATGAGGGCAGGTCATGTCGTGAAGATTGAGTTTTGTTCATGTCTTGTCATGTCAATCCTTTTTTTATCTGATACTGATATCGCGCCACTTGCGCCGGGTTGTGACATGTTCCAATGATGCACTATTTGTTAAGATATTCGCAGAGCAGAAGTGGATTCTTTATCATTCGATTGTCAGCTATGGTTCATATTCTGCTTTGGGTCACATAGGAGCCCAACTTGCCCGTTCTGGTCTCCAATGCGTCTGCACCCGAGGTAAGGCTCACAAACTTGAACGAGACTTGTGAAAGCTTGAAGAAGGCTCGCTGCATCCCGCTTTAGAGTTCCAGGGTTTGTGTTGGTCCAGAGCATTCGTAAGCAGTCTAGGCAGCAGAGAAGCTCTAATTGAAGTTGGCATTTTCTTCCAGGCTGTCCGAAGAGCTCGGATTGCAGAATCTCGGAAGCAGCCAACTTCGCCAAAGAGCCCAGCGAGTTACAAGACCAAGAGCATTGCCTTCATGGAAGAACCCTTTACGCCGGAGCTCGTGCCCGAGCCTGCCAGCGTGGACTCACCATCCAAGAGCTCAGCAGACGTCGACATATCCCTTTTGGACGAGGCTCACGAACAGCTCCTCGAAGCCTGGGCCAAAAGGGATGCAGAGATGGCCAAGGTGGAGGAGTTGACACAGCAGAATGCACAGCTGCGCCGCCAGCTCGCCAAACAGAGCCAGGGACTTCTGCTAATGGATGCAGATAACTCTGCGGGAGAGGCGAGGCATTTGGCGAGCTTTGTGGAAACGGTTCGTGCGCAGCTTCTGACGGATGCAGACGGGGAAATGGGAATGGGAGCTTCAGAGTTCCAGGTGTCATTCCCGGAGCTGGAAGCTGAACTGAAGGTGGTCTCTGCTGAGGCCTCCCAGACTTTAGCGGCGGTTCGCTCTGCCTTGGAGCAGTTGCAAGTCGGGAATGCTGCGCCCGCGGAACTGGAAGCCTTGCAAGAGCTGCAGCAGAAGAGCCTCTCCTGTCAAAGCCAGAAGCGGGACCTGGAAAAGAAACTCCTGGAGCTCTCCACCAAGAGCCTGAATGGCGTGCTGGAGAGCGAGACGGGCCCGGGTGAAGACTCGTCTGCCGCAACCGCGGCAACCGCGACCAGGCACATGCGAGGTGTCACCGTGGCTGCTGTCCAGCTCCTGACCGAGGTCGGTCCGGGACACGGAATCCCAGACCCATGCTTCCACGACTTTCCCAGGGTTCGGAGACTCTTGGCGGCCGAGGTCAAAAGATGCAGGAACTCGCTACCGAGAATGCAGAGCTGCGTGGAGCCTTGCTGTCACTATCGGCGCGGCTAACCCAGGCAGACCTGCTATGATAGAGCTCTCAGTCGCTTGCTTCTGATGGGATTCCCTTGTCCCTGGAAGGCAACGTCACTGATACAGGCGTCACCAGCATTGTCAGGCCGCATTTTGGAACCAGCACCAACCACTTCGTCTCTACCAGTAGATCGCAGCTGGTCCTGCTAATGTGGCAGTGAACTCATAACGACGGTCGCACGACGATCCATGATGATACTTCTTAGTTGTTAAATATGCTACATGGTGATGGGGATGATGGTGATGATTACTATGATGGTGATGATGATTATAATTTAGACGACAGTCCGATGGCGGAAAACACTACTGGTCGACGACATCGTTACACAAATAGAGGTTATTATCATCTCTTAACTAGATGATGAAAGTGTAGCCATGCACAGAGCAGCAGTGTTGCCATCAGGGTGATTATGAGTACAGTCATGCGGTTGAACATCCACCTCGCAGCCTGAAGCGAACACACCTGCAGGTGATGGCACGCTGCAGAAGTGTTTGACCACGATGACAAAAATCAACGAGGACCATGTGAGCTATCCTCAGCTAGAACAACCAGTCGCTGTCGCAGAGCTTAATGTAAACTGCTTCACGTGGCGTGATGTTTCAAGGCCAGCCGTTTTCGATCGACTGTTCAATGGGCCGCGCAGCTTGGAGCGACAAATCCATGAACGGAGGTCACGAGGACTTGGTCGGATGAATCTGCACATAGCTTGCCGCCTCCCCGCAAGCTCAGGCAGACCCAGCATGCGTTTGGAGCGCCAGGCACAAGATCGTTCTTTGGCCCCTTTCATCACCAGCACACGGCGCATTTGCTTCTCAATTTGAGCAATATGTTGAAGCAAATGGATGAATCAAGTAAGGCAAGTCAGAGCTGATGAAGTCTTCCTGTATCCATCTCGCGGATGAGCTTCCTCGCAGGCTTTATGACTTCATGACTCGAGTTGACTGTTCTCTTCGCAAGCAAGCTTATTGAGGCCAACCATCCAATCGATTCCGGGCGCCGCGTCCTTAGTGTGCCTGCTCCAACACACTCCGCTTGATGCGCCTGTGTGGCTGAAGGCGATCGGTGCTGAAGAGCCGGTGATCTCACCTAGGGATGCCTCCCGGCTGCGAGGGGTACCTGGTAATTGGAGATTCGTTTCAGGCCGCACCGACTGCGTGCTGCAGACTGCGTGCTGCAATTCCTTTTTCCCAGCTGAGGAATCGGGCAGAGCATCGAGGTGCAGACTAACGACATGAGACTCTCGCTCTTTTCCCGAGCCTGAAAGGTTTGTTTGAATGAATATCCGACAGTAGGCAGCGAGAGGACACCAACAGCCCTGCTTGCATAGCCGCTGCAGACTCTATGTTGAATGTCAGGGGAGTCCACAAGATGTTGCGGCGAAACAGCTCGCTCGAGGCGGACAAGGCCACGTCTTCGAGGCACCCGCCCGTCTTGCCAGACTAACGACTGGAACGACAGGATGCCAGCTGCTTGAGTCCCGAAGCAAGGTCCAGGGGCCCTGCCATGATCTGCTTGCAGATAGAAGGTGTTTTTTGAGCATCCAAGCCTGGCAGGTTCGGTTTGGGACAGAGTGCCCCTTCCGACGATGTCAGCAGCTCACTGTGACTCTGCCGCGGTGGCTTTTGCTCCCAGCTTTGCTTTGGCCCCAGGAGCGAAGAAAGAGCGGAGCTCCCGGGCCGGGGCCGCCCCAGAGGCAGCGCCGGGAGTCCCTGAGGATGTCAAGCCACGCGTCCGAACAAAACACTGCGACGTACTACGAGGGCTCGAGAGCCATGGGAGTCTGTGGGCAGCACGTCTCATCTCCCGAGGCTTTGAGTTTGGACGACCGAGCCTCGACAAGACGACGGAAAAGGAAGTCACGTTCTTTGAGTGTATGGTAGCGTTTGACCGCGAAGAAGCGCATGAAAGTTTGCCTCGACGGCAGGAACAGCTTTTCCCGATGTCGGTTTGTGCGATCAGCTCGGAAGCAAGGCTTGTCTGCAGGCAGCACTCTGCTTCAAAGTACTCCGTAGCGAATCCGTCGGGGTTCAATTGCCTTCAGTTCAGGGCCAGCACTGGGCCCATGTCTCCTGACTCACCGGAGGCCCGGTGAAGCAGAAATACAGAGAGAGAGGATAGCGAGAGGCGCCTTGGAGGCCACAGGTAGAGGCTGATGTGAGTACTTAGGATTGCTCTCAGGCTGCCCAGGCAGTGGACCTGTCCTCTACCTCGAGGAAACCTGCCGTACCACTGGGACCACAATCATTCAGGGCGTTACTGTATGCATCATCTTCGGCAGGCCGCAGCTCTGGGGCAAGCAGCGATCCTTAGCGGACAAAGAGGATGGGGCGGAGCTTCTTTCTACTCGTAGCCTCAGCTTCACGGGAGTTTCAGAATTCAGAACCCATCGTAAACGAATCCAGCATGCATGTGCAGGCCGCGGATTCTGCGGAGCGGCAGCGTTTCTCAAAGACCAACTACAGACGCGACTACAAACAGCACCGACTTGCTGGAGGAGGCTTGTCCACGGGACAAAATCTCTTGCTCGTAGTGACCGAAGGAGTCTTCAAGAAGGCCCATGTGACATGTCATCTTCAGGCATAGACATCAAGGGTGACGTAGACAAAGCTTTCGACAAAGCCATGGAGAAGGCGTCACCGTCACCTCCAACACCGTCAGCTGGCTAGCGGCTAGCGACAGCATCTCAAGTGCACCTGCGGAACACCTGCAGTTGACTCCACGTCAGCCGCGGCCGCAGCTGCCGTTTTGGAAAGACGAAGGCAGCCAGCTTGGCTGAAGGTGTATGTGTAGGAGGCCGTCTTGGAACAGACCTGCAGGACCTCTTCTACCACATATGCCAAAGGCCGGGCTAGAGCTAGACGGCCAGACTTGACAAAAGTGCCACTGGGCGTTGCATGGCCTTGAAGGTTTCTGTCCAGTCTTCACCTCGTGGACCCATCTCTCCGGGATCGCGTGACGACGGGGACGAGGGCCTGGGCCCCTTGGCTCCTTTGGAGCGAGCTCTGTCTGTTGGCTCCTCGCTCTCCTCCGGGGGAGAGTCCGACTCCATGCTTCACGCGGCCACCTGCCCGGCACAGGAGCGAAGCTTTAGGAGATTGACCATATGTCCGTGCTCTCAATCGTGACCCGGAGCCTCGAACGAGCCAGCTTCCGGAGGAGTCAGCGCCCCAAAAATGGCAATCGGACCACCTGCCTGCAGTGCCGATGGTTTCTATCCAGCAATTGGAGCTCAGACAGGACATAGACTGACATAGACTCTGCCACTGTAAGCTCGGACTATGGTGGATTACCGTTTTGAAAATTCCCAGTTTCAACTGCACGCTGCCAAGCGGTTGTCCCTCCTTGTGGCTTTTGTAGAGGAATCCGTGCTTGCACTGATCAACTCGCATGTCATAGGGCCAAGCCAGCAGCCTCCCTTCTGCATCCTGCTCGGGCCGGCTGCCATTTTGGGTCAGACTCACGACGGGTCTCGGTGTCGCGGGGTCTGTTTCCCGGGTTGTTCTTTTTCTTGTTGTTTGTTTTCTGTTGCTGGTCATGTCGAATCCCTCGCGTGCCGCACATGATGATGTTCCTGTCCAGATCAGACAGAGTCTGGCAGCACAACGTGCACAACAGAGTCTCTTGGAGATCGACGAGTTCTCTGACCCTGTGGTTCAACAGGATGGTGTTGAGGCAGACGCTGCCCCCATCCCTTCCAGAGCAGCCCCTGCAGGTGCTGCAGATGGTGTGGTGCTTGAAGAGGTGATAGCTTTGCTCGCTCAGGTCACCAAGCAGACAGAAGACGCGGTGAAGCGAGCCGGTGTCATAGAAACGCTTCGAGCCTGTGACACAGTGGGTCTCCTCAAGGGACACCCCATTCTCCAGCGGCTTTTCCTGGATATGTACGATGAGACGAAGCGGAACCGCTTGCTGACCTCCAGCCGCGACTCCTCTGCTGCGGGCAAGCCTCCTGTGGCAGTGGACGCGGTTGCCTCAGGTGCCGATCGTCCCTCCCAGGGGGTGTCACCTGAAGCTTTGGACGTCGAGATGGTGGAGCCGGCGGATTCGGCGGCTGATGGCGACTTTGCCATGGTGGATGCCCCCCCGGGGGATGGGAGCGCGGTTGCCTCAGGTGCCGATCCTCCCTCTCAGGGGGTGCCATCGGCAGAACATGATGTGGCTCTCTCAGAGCCGGGCTTTATCGACTCGGCCAGTGGCTCCTGGGTCCTGGCCGACAAGGCGCCTTCGATCACGGTGCCTAGCACCTCGGGAGACTACGCCTGGGTGGAACATGAAGACGTCGAGCTTCTCCAGGCCTGGGTGCAAGAGCAGCTTGACGCAGCAAAAGACCCTCAGACGGTCCTGCCGCAGATCGAAGATCGGGTCGTGATGTTGCAGAAGGAGCTCCCGTTTGTCTCGGTCATGGACTTGTTTAGCAAGTCCCACCCATGGTGGGAGGCAGTGTGCAGATGGTACTGCACCGTCCCGGAAGAGGTGGGCATGGTGAAAGGCCAAAAGCTTTCCAGCACAGTTTTGGCCAGATGGAACTGCCTTAGACGGGAGGACTGTGTGAAGATCCTCTCTCATGTGGACGCCACTTCTAAGGAGTTCCACCAGGACCCGAGTCAGTTCGTGAGCGGCTTGATGCACATGAAGCACAAGCTCCCTTTTAAGAATGTCGGCACGATCATCCTCTCCCTGCCGTCCCTGACGAAAGACGAGCTGCTGGGCTCTGACAGAGCGGTGGTCCAGTGCGTGGACGCCACCAAGGCGGTGTACAGGCTGGTCTCCCCGGACGTGATGCCCGACCGCTTCTTCCGCAGTGACGTCGCGACCATCCTCCGTTCCCTCCCGAAGTTGGTGGTGGAGAAGATGGTGGCCGCTGTGGAGTCCGAGGACTCGGGGCTCTTCGAGGACGCGATCCTGAACATCGGGGGCCACCTCCGCAGCAGAGTGGCTACGCTCCGCCAAGAGGAAATCCTCAAGAAGCAGGGCCAAGGGTTTGGCACAGCTACGGTGCCCAGGCCCTCGACCGCGCCCTTGCCTTACATCTGCTCGGACCCTGGCTGCGGGGGTAGGTTTGCTGCTGTGCTCAGGGTTCGGTGCTTTCTTTGCAACAAGATGGTTCTGCCTGTCAGGGAAGCCAATGCTTCTATCGAGGCCCCGGCCCCGGATGGATCCTCCTGGCGCTTGGTGGAGGGTGCGTGGCAGAACACCTCGAACAGCTTCAGGGAGGACTTCAAGTACAAGTTCGGCAGGCCCCAGACGGAATATGAAAGGAAGTTGCCGGGCCCTGCTCTCTCCGCTGCCATCAACGCTGCCGGTCCGATGGGGGAGGCCTCCTCACCCGGTCCGGTTGCCTCAGGTGCCGTTGGCCGGGGGGAGGTGGCCTACTCTTCGGAGGACCTGGCTCAGAAGATGGAGGATCAGGCCTCCCGTGAACTCCTTTTTGCCTCGGACTTAGACTGCCCAAGGTTTGATTCTCAGGATGGCCCGGAGCAGAAGCCTCATGAAGTCGGCGTGGTCTTTAGCCCGGACATGGCCAACGCCCGCATCACCCTTGAGGATGCGGCCCAACAGGCCGAGGGGGCGGCTACCTTTGACGAGGCTGTGAACCTGGAGAACAAGACACACAGAGGCAAGGTCCTCCGGGCGGCTGCGGGGGCTGCTCTGGCAGTGCTCCAGTGCCACTCGAAGCTGGTCGCCTGGGCCTCCTCCCACGAGGCGGCTGCGACGGCTTTCAGGAACCAAGGAGCGGATATCTTCACCTGTTGCGAGAGGGATGCACTCCCGCTCCTCCTTGTGGTCCAGAAGGGTGAGATGGCCCACGTCTTGAAGGAGTATGCGGATGTGTCGGTGGAGGCCAGCTTTGGGCCTGGGGTCGAACCGGTCCATGCCTCAGGTGCCGATGGGTGGACCCCGAAGCCGGAGCGGCCGCCCACGGACCGGGACATCGCAATGGAAAACCTCAAGCAGTTGGAGCAGGCGGCCATGGAGGAGGGCACAGTGGACGCGGCGGAAGAGGTCGCTAAGACGGCACTCCTCCCGGGCAAAAGGGCGGTCGCCAATATGGCTCAGGTCTCTACCGCCACGTTGGAGGCCAACCTCAGAGGGACCAACCAGGGCCAGGGTCTTCTTGCTGCGATGCGTAGGACATTGGCGCCCCGAGAGATGACCTTTGACAAAGAAGAGAAAGCCAAGCGGGAGGAGAACAAAGAAGCGCAACGCGGAGCAGCTTCAGGACCATTTTGTCTACACTCCGGTGGTCCAGCAGCCCAGCCTTTGGAGCAAGGAGCTGGTCGAGCTGGTGGAGCGCCACTCGGAAGGTGGGTGAGGCAGCCGGGTCCGGTCACCCAGGTGGAGGCTGGTGAATGGTACGCTGGCTGGACGGACCTCGGCCACGAAGCCTTCACATCGGCCATGCACTCAGTGAACGCCATCTTCGCCAAGCACGGATTGGCGCCTTACAGCCTTCAGATCCCGGAGATATGGTGGGGAACCTCCTCAACCCTATGGTGGCTCTCTCCAAGCCGGTGGAGGAAGGGGAGGTGGACAGGGAGCCCCACCATTGGCGGCTCAACCTCCAGACAGTGACCCTCAGGGAGTTGCTGAATTGCTATGGCAGTGTGCTCTCGGCCAAGGACATCTGGAACATGGTGGGGCCAACCAAGAACGAGGGCCAGAAGAAGTTTCAGAAGGGTTTTCCCCGGGTGCGCTCCAACCTCCGCAAGCGTGGAGATTACCGGGCGGCCCGCCGCAAGGACTTCCTTGACCTGCGCCTGAAGGCTAAGTCGTGGATGGAGGCAAGGGGGTTCGGAGAGCCGAAGTGCCCGGAGGATTACGCGATCATCCTCCGCCGCATGAGCTTCGAGGTCCACTGCATGAACTTCCTGCGCAACCCCAGCTGGCTCGCGGATCTCCCGGATGCCCCGGTCGTTGACTCCAAAGAAAGGCTTCGGCTGCGGGCGGAGTACGACCACAGAGTCACGCTGCCCATCGAGTCCCTCCCGCTTGACCTCAAGGCCTTCTTCTCGGGCAAGCACAAGTGGGCAGTGGCCTTCCAGTACTACCGCTGCACTGGAGGGGCGTGGGTTAAGGCCCCGGACTTTGTGGACAAGCCCAACCAGAGGCATTGGATCCACATGGAATGTGGCATGGTCCTCCCGGCCCTGTCAGGCTTCGACTACACCAGGGTTGGGTCGAGCAAGCGTTCCAAGAACCGTTATGCCTGCACCCTTTGCAGGACCGAATGGGGCCGGGAATCGGCGGAAGGCAAGTGGCTCAAGGGCCACGAGATGCACGGCTGGCTCCTGGAGATTTTCGATGGCGATGTGGTCCTGCAGGCCATCGTCACGGCCCCACCGCATGCAGAGCGCGAGAGGTGGATCCAGGGGCGCATGCTCTTCTGTCGGAAGTTCGAGGGCACGGCTCCGCTACTTGACGCGGCCCCACACAAGATGCCGGGGCAGAATCCCTTCCGCATCCGTCTGGGCCCTGAAGCTTCCACACAGCTGTGGCGTCTGGTCTTCTCGGAGCCCTCCTTGGAAGCTCTCCAGTCTTTGGATGTCTTGGCTGATGCGGTCAAGGAAGAGCTTAAGGCGGATGTGGAGATGAAGCCCGCGGCCTCCTAGCCTGGGAGCGGTGGCTAATCGATGTCGGCGCCCTCTCGTCTGCCTACAGGCTGTTTTACGGGGTGCCACATCCTTTTCTTTCAGCTAGTTTGGGGGCATGACCTCCCCAGTACAGCCTCGATGCTCGGGGGATGGGGGGGGTACGGTTGCCTCAGGTGCCGATTCCCTTCCCTGAACCTGTCCATCGAGGGCTTCAGAAGGGGAAGGCGCCTCTGACGCTGACTCTGGATACTCCTGCCTTTTTAGCAAATTTGGGGGCACTGCCTCCCCAGTGTAGCCGCGATGCGTGGGGGAGGGGGGGGGTACGGTTGCCTCAGGTACCGATTCCCTTCCCTGAACCCGCACATCCAGGGTTCAGACGGGGAAGGCGCCTCAGACGCTTTCTTTGATACCTCCGGCCTTTGGTTGCCCATAAAGGGGAAAGGACTTGCCTTGCTCTCGGGGGTGTCTTTCGGGTTTTCTTCGGTGGGGTCTTTCCCTTTCTGGGTTGTTCGGGGTCTTTTGGAGTCCTCGCTTGTGCAGAGTGCTTGCTTCGTGATCTGCATGCGCATGTCTGTCAGTGCTGCGATGGTCTCTTGTCACCCTGGCTGGCCGGGCCCCACAGCTGTTTTGTTCTGTGGCTCCATT